TTTCCATTATACATTTATGCGCATTTTTTATATGTATATGCGTACCGTTAAATTTATACAATTATTATAACTATCTTAATTGATTGATAATAAAATTGTAACAAAATAGATTTTAGTACAAAAATATTTACAATTTGATATACATATACAATTATTGTATAATTAATTTTTAATCATTGTAAATAGGAATATATCACAATAAATGACATATCTTTGCTGATTCTACAAGATACGTAGAATTTATTGTATCTTACCTTTGCCAAGGATTTTGAATACACTAATAGTACCATTTACTTCCATGTTAGCTTCTGCGAATAACAGTGGTAATACTGCGTCAATTTCCAAATGGAAAACGTTATCATGAAAATGCGGTCTCACGGCAGGAAAACGAATCGTCGATATTCCGATGCCAGTCATATTTGATACATTTATTTCTCCACGTATGTTGGCTAAATCAACTTTAATTGGAAGACGTTCTATGTATATTGGATCCAAAGACGGAAAGTCATATTCTGGCAGTCCTACAAGTAAGTAAATTTTAATATCTACTTTTTAATATAATTTTAATATCCCGTTTTTAATATAATTTAGTTAAAGAAATTTTAATGTATGTATAAACAATAGATATATAAATATATAAATAAATAATATATAAATAGATATACTTATATCTATTTAATAATATATAAATAGATATATAAATAAGATAAGCTAGATTACGTATGTAAATATCACAAATAATTTTAAGAACGCCTTGTATCTACTGTCGAGGCTGGATTTTGGTGCCTAATAACATTTTTATGAATTTTAAGTTCATTATTCAGCTTTTTTAAACTGTGCGCCAAAATTTTAATTAATTGTTTACTTTTTTAAAAATTTAAACAATTAATAAATTTATAGAAATTTACTTACTATTAATATTGCTTAATCTTTTTTCTAACATCATAGTAATCTAACTTTCAATATAAAGTAACGCATATTTTATTTTAAAGATATATAAATTGAAATAACAGAAACTTAAATATATTTTTAATAAGAATACCTGCACAAAATCGTGGCCATGATTCTTGTATAGAGCGTTGTAAACAGTCGGC